TAATTCTTCACATTCTCTCTCTCTCTCTTCCCTCCAAATAATTCCTCACATTCTCTCTCTCTCTCTTCCCTCCAAATAATTCCTCACATTCTCTCTCTCTCTCTTCCCTCCAAATAATTCTTCACATTCTCTCTCTCTTCCCTCCAAATAATTCCTCACATTCTCTCTCTCTCTCTTCCCTCCAAATAATTCCTCACATTCTCTCTCTCCTCTCCAAATAATTCTTCACATTCTCTCTCTCTCTCTTCCCTCCAAATAATTCCTCACATTCTCTCTCTCTCTCTTCCCTCCAAATAATTCCTCACATTCTCTCTCTCTCTCTTCCCTCCAAATAATTCTTCACATTCTCTCTCTCTTCCCTCCAAATAATTCCTCACATTCTCTCTCTCTCTCTTCCCTCCAAATAATTCCTCACATTCTCTCTCTCTCTCTTCCCTCCAAATAATTCTTCACATTCTCTCTCTCTTCCCTCCAAATAATTCCTCACATTCTCTCTCTCTCTCTCTTCCCTTTAAATATTTTCTCACATTCTCTCTCTCCCCTCCGAATAATTAGGATCTCGTTTCGAAGCCTGGCTGATATCGGCATACAAGGCCTTCAACTCGGAGCACCTCATCTACACGCACTTCTGCGGCTACACCGTCCACCTAGAGGATATGAGCAGGCTGTACGACGACGGCTTCCTTCAGAATGTCTTTAAGGTCGGTGAGTGAGTGAGTGAATGAATGAGTGAATGAGTAAGTGAATGAATGAGTGAGTGAGTAAGTGAATGAATAAATGGATGAATGAGTGAGTGGATGAGTAAGTGAATGAATGAGTGAATGAATGAATGGATGAATGAATGAATGAGTGAATGAATGAGTAGATAAATAAATTGATGAGTGAATGAATGGATGAATGAATGAGTGGATGGATGAATGAGTAGATAAATGAACTGATGAATGAATGAATGAATAAAGGAGTGAGAAAATGAGTAAGTGATTGGATGATAATGACAATGTCGGTGAAAGCCTTTTTAACAATTCATCCGAGAAGTTTTCCCAGCACTAGCAACTCTGACGTGGTGATGCTAGAATGATTGGGGTAAGTTTAGGCAACACTGACAAACTGGGGCAAACGCACATATTTATTTATTATTTTTCATTCCAAGACGTTATTTATAATCGCTTTGCGGCGAATGAACTCGTGTTTTCAACTTCAAATTTCATCCCGTTCTTGTGTCTAGTTTATTAGACACCACTTGCAACACAGGTCTTTCCAGGTCTACAGTTTAAACCAAAGAGCAACCTTTGAGTGGTAGCTCGCGAACTTTGAACTTTAAACTACCTACAAGTAAAATAAGGCTGTCATCTGTATCTTTCCAATGGTTGCACAAGGTAAGCTAGAGACAAACGAAAATAAAGTGCTGACTCCTAAGGAAGCAGCCCTGCTAATTTAAAGGTGACAGTTGTCACTATTGCTTGGGAGACAGTCGGCTTTCCACGACAACAGGCTTTTGAACATTCCCAGTTTAAAAATTTAAACTTGGGACTGAATTTTGTCCAGACATTTACATACAAAGATCGGGCATTACCTAATTTCAATGTTTATGTAGAACAAGTTTAAACAGATATTTGTACTGATAAATCTAGACTGGCTTCGGTGAGATAACCCTTGAAGAGATTTTTATACAATTTTGAATTCAGTTGAGAATTACAAAACACTTGCTAGTAAACTTTTGAAAAAATATCACCCTAAAAAAACTGTGACACACACACACACAAACAAACAAACACACACACACACACACAAACACACACACAAACAAACAACACAGCTGCCTTCGTATCCTACGCTCACAATTGAGCCTTAATAGGGTATAATATTAAAATATAATTAATTAATTATAATTAACGAAATAGAGTATAATATTGAAATATAATTAATTAATTATAATTAATTAACGAAATTCCATAAAAGGCGGCCAGGATGCTGAAGAATCTGAACATGACGGAGGAAGAGGAGTGCCTGCTGAAGTCCATCATCATCCTTTTCAGAGGTTCCTAGTGATAATAATTATTTATATTATAACAATAATTATTATAATTATTATTGTTATAAAATAAGAATAGGATATTACTAGTAATAACAACAACTCAGAATATAAAGAACACAAACGTATTCTGAAATTACACAACGACGACGAAGACAACACCAACAAAAACAACATCAACTGACAAATTCACTCAGGACACACACACAGACACACATACACAGACAGACAGACACACAAACGAACAAACACACACACAGACAGAGCAGAGCTGGTTAACCCAGACCTAGTCGAGAGCTGTCAGCTAAAAATAATAGACGCCGTCAACCGATTCCACTTGCGCCGAAGACCGAAGGACCGACTATTCGTGGCCCGGATCATATCGGTATTGGTGTATTTACGAAGTCTGTCGGAGCAGCATATAGAGCAAGAGAGTAAGATTAACATGGAATGGGCGACCGATATAAAGTTACCGCCCCTCTTGTACGAGTTGTTTTCAGTCTGAGATGGATTGAGTGAAGGATTGTGAGGATAGATGGACGAACGGATGGATGGACGGATGGATGAGAAAGAATGACATAAGCAAATGAATGAATGAATGTTCAAACAAATGAACGAATGAATTGATTGTAAAAACAAAATTTTGGACCCAATCTGCCCAAGTCTCAATTTTCGACCGCCTACCCTCCCCCCCTCAAAATTTATTGATTTCATATTTCATTGCTCAAAGATTAACAATCGAAAAAGCTTATTATTATTTGCTGAAACATTTCATTAGATTCTTGTACATATGCGTGTATGTATGTATGTATATATTTATATACATAAATGTAGGTTTGTTTGTTAGTATGTATGTATGCCTGTACGTATGTATTTATGTATGTGTGTGTGTATGTATGTATGCATGTATGTATGTAAGTATGTATGTATGTGTATATGTATGAACCCATAATTGATTAGAACTATAAGGAAGTAATAATCATACCTGGGTTCAGATTTAATCTATGTTAAACGCTTCGCACAGACAGTTATTTTAACGTTCCATCCAAAATACAGAAAGAATTATATTTTTGAATTATAGTTTTGTTGAAGTGTGTATATGTATGTATTTACTGATCGTGCTGTATTATTATTATTATCAATTTTGTTGCCATTTAAAAACATTTTAGCATAATAGCAACCTATTATTACTACCTATTAAACTACTTGATAAACACACACACACACACACACACACACACACACACACACACACACACACACACACACACACACACACACACACACACACACACACACACACACACACACATTATCAATTGATAATTATTTAATGTCAAATTATATTTCGCGATTTCATTATTAATTACTGATTATTATTGTTATTATTGATTATTCTTTACTAATTATTATTATAATTATTACCATTATTGTATTTATATAGCGTTTTTTTTTAATTGACTTCTCGCTCTAATAGATTGAAATGACGAAAAACCGATATGAAATCTGCTCGTTGATCAGTCGCAACCATAATAAAATCATTTATGACACTAAATTATAATTAATTATAAATTAATTATTTCTAGGCTAATATTATTATCGTTACAATCATCAACATCATCATCATCACTGTTTGTTGATTTACAATAATTACAAGACCATGTGTTGTAAATATTTTATCACTTTACAACTGATTAACTATACATACATACGTTTATCAACAGCTATCCAATCAAAAGATGGTTCAAATTTTTCAACCAATCAGAACCAAGGCATGGCGACCCTGATATTTTCTAATCTTATTTAGTATCTTCTAGATTTGGTTGTTTGCTTGTGTGTCTGGGCCCGAAACATATCAAATAAGATTAAGATAACACCAATGTCACTAATTGTTTCATTCTCGAAACTGCTCTGAATATAAATTTAGGCATTTATTCTTATTATATGAACAAATTAATTTTTTTAAATAATCAAACAATCAATCAACTAACTTCAAATCAATCAACTAACTAATCAACTAATCAATAAATTAATCATTCATTTGTTTATTTATACAACTTCAAATAAATCATTCAGTCAAAATTCTTTAAATGAATTGATCAACTATATTTGTGAACAATCACTCAATCAATCAATTGGTCAATTAATCAATTAAAAAAACCCAAAGATTCTAAAGTCAGTCTTCATTAAAAATCTTTCTTCTGCCTAATTTCTGCATCTGCTTATGTCTGGGCTTGGCCGTGCATTCAACGAACAAACGATTATGTCGACGAACAAAATAACAATTTGGACATCTTCTTTTTAAGGCCGTCTTTACTTTATACGTCCTAACTTGATTAGGAAATAGGGATGTGATGGATTGATGGGGAGATAAAAATTTTGCACTTGCTAATGCTAGTGTTGCAGTAATAGAAGGGGTTGTATTTGTAATGAAATTAGTTGATGTATTAATATTCGTGAATGGAAAATTTTGAAACTGTCGAGTCCCAATCGGAGAAATTATTTTGCTGCCATTGTTGAATAAGTAAGAAGAGGACGATGACGACGACGGTGACATTGATGACGTCAGGAGGAACTTTTTCACTAAATTAGTGACAGGCAAGTTGAGGGCATTTCGAAGGCCCAACATCATTACCTGTAATAGAAAAAATAATTTCAATTATTAATAAAATAATTTTTTCTTATTTATTTGTAGTTTGATTGCAATTACAAGTGCAAAAGCAGCAAAAGCAAAAGTCAACATAAAAATATAAAGTTAAAAAAAGTATAGATATGACATAGGCGGGCCTAGTCACAAATTTTATAATAAATTGTTAAAAAAATAAACTTTAACGTCTTTAATTTATGAGAATCAATATCTATACTAATCACAAACCCAACCCAAAATTATTGAAACTTTGAATTTGATTAGAAAACTATGTGCCGAAACAAAAACTTGTTTAACGTAATACAAGTCAGCAAGAAAACAAATTTAACGTTTAAAAGTTAATTCTGCTTATAAATAATGTATATTATTATTATTATATATTATTCTAATTATATGATTTATATATATTTTTTTATTTTCTAAATATGTGCTTTATATACATACATCATACAAATATATATGCGCATTATATATCATTACATATTCACACACACAAACACAAACACATACAGTGGCAGATCTAGAGGGGAAAGTGATCCCGTTGTGAAGGTTATCTGTGTTAAAAATTAGGGTTTTTGTTAGAAACACTGACGTTATAAGCCCCAAAAAAGATGTTAAGTTGGCCCTCCCCCGTAAAATAGATAAAAATTGAAACATTTTTCCAACAAATTTGTGAAAATTCCCTAAATTGTGTTCAAAATCTTTGCCCCGATTCAAAATGTACCACCGAACAAACACAAAATAAAACACACAAACACACCAATACCTTGTTTAAACATTTTGACGTATATATATATTTATATTTATGTCTAATGTTTATCTTTGTGCTGTATGGAATCTATTTGGAGATAATTATATATAACTATATTAACTAAAAATAGTTCTTTTAACATATAATAGTTTTTTACATAGTTCTTTTTTCTATATCTATATATATCTAGATATAGTTACATTTAGTTATATTACATTACATATAGTAATGAATACATTAACAGTCATTTGGTATTGTTTGCCCATTGTTGTTGCAGCCCTAGAAGAAGACACTGGTTAATCAATTATGAATTAATTAGTGTATAATAATTAATATTTTTTATGTTTTCATAAAAATAAAATAAATTAAATTTTCAGTGGCATAATTAATTCTCTTTTAATTCACTCTGTTAAAAAGTATTAACACACACACAGACACACACACACGCACACATACACGCAAATTTCATGTGATAGGCGGGATCTCAATGCAATTGAATCTGGTCACTGCTACAGTTGGACCAAGCGTCTTAAACGTTACACTATTTTCCACCATTGCGTTTCTGATAGATAAAAATAAATAAATAATTATATATTATATATTTGTCTAAAGATTTGCCAGCGTTTGATCAGGGTGACATTATAGAATATACAAACTCATCATCATCATCTTCATCGTCATCATCGTCATCATCATCGTCATCTTCATCATTATCATCGTCATCATCATCGTCATCGCTATCATCATCATCATTACCGTCATCGTCATCATCACCGGAAAATAAAACTCTGCATGATTTGGCGAGTGTGAGAAAGATACTAAAGAAGGAATGGAGGAATGAGTGGATACTACCCAAAAACACTACCAACGGGGTAACGATGATGATGTCATAAATAGGGCTGTACCGGATCCGACCGGAGCTAAAGCCGGATTTGTGCATTCAGTAACAATTTATACTATAACATCTGACTATGGCTTCGTCGAATGTTGTACTAGCTAAGGGGCTAAGGGGTGGGCAAACTCTTTGCTCTGAGGACCGCATTGAGAAGTATTTTACGTTTGAGGTGCAACACATGTACTTAAATAGGAAATTTTTTCGACCGACCCGGGGAAAAATTTTTTAAAATTTGCGGTTCCTTTTTTTGGTCATAATGTCTGAAGATATATTATTATTTTATTATTATTATTGTTATTATTATTATCATTATTTATAAAGCGCCTAACAAAAATAATGATGTTAATTTTTCAAAACTCATTTATTTATTATAAGTTTCGAATGTATATATATATATATATGTATATATATATATATATATATATATATATATATATATATATATATATATATATGTTGGTAATAGACCATAATTTTTACAATATTCTATAAATTATACCAAATGTTTGGCGTTAATATGTTCGTAGTTCGTTTTTTATGCATTTGTAAATTCTCTCCGGCATAATTTTAGTTCATTCTTGGCACTGCAATCAACATCACAGTAATTCAACAATTCAGTTAGTTGATTCGACAAGTCTTGGACTACCTTCTTTTTAACTTCTAATTCTCGAAAGAGATGGAGACGAACTACAAACATATTAACGCCAAACATTCGGTAGAATTTATAGAATATTGTAAATATATATATATATATATATATATATATATATATATATATATATATATATATAGTTTGAACCGGTCTAATTTTGTAATAGTAGTTAGTAGTAGTAATTGTAGTAGTAGTAGTATTAGTAGTAGTAGTTGTTGTTGTAGTAGTAGTAGTAGTAGTAGTAGTAGAAGTATATTGTAGAATCGGGCCCAGTTCCGATTAGAGCTGAATTAGGGCAAATTGGGATCGGTACGGCCTTAGTTATTAATGGCGACAAAGATGGCGTAAAAATGATGACTACTACCACAACTACTGTACTACTACTACTACTACTACTGCTGCTGCTGCTGCTGCTGTTACTACTACTACTATCACTACTACTACTGCTGCTTCTGCTGCTGTTACTACTACTACTACTGTTGCTGCTGCTGCTGCTGTTACTACTACTACTATCACTACTACTACTGCTGCTTCTGCTGCTGTTACTACTACTACTACTACTACTACTGCTGCTGCTACTGCTGCTGCTACTGCTAATAACAATCAGGTAGATGACGACACGACGGAACTTGAAAGGAAGATAGATATGCTAAACCGAATGCTGCGTAGCTTAGATCATGATGATGATGACGATGGCGATGATGATGATGACGTCACGGTCGATAGAAGTATCAGTCATCGTGTGATGAAGCGAGGTTAGTGATGATGATGATGATGATGATGTTGATGATGATGATGTTGATGATGATGATGATGATGATGATGATGATGATGATGAAACGGAGTTAATAATAATAATGATGGCTACAACCAGCACCACTACTACTACTACTACCACTGCTACTACTACAACTACTACTACTACTACCACTGCTACTACTACAACTTCTACTACTACTACTACTACTACTACTACTACTACTACCTTTACTACTAATACCACTACTACTTACTTCTACCACTACTACTACTACTATCACTACAACCACTACCACCACTACTACTACCACTAAGAGAGCGAAAATGAGAAAGTTTTGTGGCGGGTGGCCGGAGTGGATGCTGAAATGATGCTGCAGGTTAACAGATTGAAGAATGACGAGGACTTGGATGACGAACGGAGGACCAGTTAGTGGATTGACTGATTGTGTAAATGGATGAAAAAATGACTGAGGGGTGGGTGGATGAATGATTGAATGAATGGATGAATGAATGAATGGATGAATGAATTGATAGATGAATGAATAGAACAGTGAATGAATTCATTGATTGAGTGATTGAATTATTTTTTGCGCAGGGGTGGATGAATGATTGAATGAATGGATAAATGAATTGATAGATAAATGAATGGAAAAGTGAATGATTTCTTTTGATTGAGGTATTAAATTTTTTTTTTCCGGGGGGGGGGGGGTGGATGAATGATTGAATGAATAGATGAATGAATTGATAGATGAATGAATAGAACAGTGAATGAATTTGTTGATTGAGTGATTGAATTATTGTTTTGCGTGAGAGCTAGGTGATGTTAGGAAAACCAGTTAGTGGATTGACTGACTGACTAAATGAATGAATGAATGAATGAATAAACGAATCAATGAAAGAAGGAACTAGTAGACAATTGAATGAATGAATGAATGAATGAATAGATAAGTGGATGAGTTAACGAATGAGTGATTAAATTAGTGATTTCCAAGAGAGTTAGATGGTGGTAGGAGAACCAGTTAGTGGATTGACTGAGTGAATAGTGAATAAATTAATTATCATTATCACCACCGTCATCATCATCATCATCATCACCATTACCTTCATTATCATCATCATCACCACCACCACCAACGTCATCATCATCATCATCACCAGATATGATCCTAGTCGGAGTTTTTATTCCAGTTGTGTCATTTTTTGTGTCAGCTTATGCCACAAGTAAGTGTTGGCGATGATGATGGTGTTGATGATGGTGCTTATTATGATGATGTTGTTGTTGATGATGATGGTGGTGGTGGTGGTGAAGAAGAAGACGACGATGATGATCTAGAAATGATGATGATGACGATGATGATGACAGCATTTGTGATGATATTTAAATTCTCACTTCAGAGAAATACTACGAAATAAAGTGTGAGTGTGTGATGATAATAATAATAAAATAATAATAATTATAATTATAATTATTGTTATTAACATACTTATAATATAATATTATTATTATAATATTATTCATATTATTAAATTTACTTCAGTGAGGGATCACACTGAGAAAATGAAAGGTACAATCAGAAGAATAATTTTAAATTTGCACTAGCAGGAATAATTAGTAAGGATGATAATAACATATTTAACGTATACCATCATTTTTTAAATATGGTTTGAATTGGTGATGAGTTTGGTAGTGATGACGATGGTTATAGAATTCA